TATAGTGCCACCTCACTTGAATGCTGCAGCACAGATACCGCAACATCCACCCCAGACCAATTTATACTCCACCTGGGTTGTTGGAGTTAGGAGTTATGTGGCAGGAGAAAAACACTTTCTCTGAATATCCATGCGTACGACGACTTAGGGGATCGAACTCTGGCAGCCTGCGTGGAAGGTCGTATTGTTAACCCCTCGACCAACCCACCCAGATCAGGCAGGCATTTTATTTAATGTACATTGTAGCATTGCGATGTTTCCGAAACAGAGGACAGAAAATGGTCCCTAAATTTGTTTCCTTTTGATATCAAACATTGAAGTCAGCAGTTGAGTTATAGCCTCTCCGAGACTGCGCAAGATGCATGTTTTATACTTTGTTAGAACAATAAAAAATCTGCAGCATATGTAAAATATTATAATATTAATCCTATTGTGAATACGGTAGTAAAGACCTATTTAAATTCCCAACCTTTTGGCCCCTAGCATCACCGATGAGTCCCAGAAGGATGGAACAGCTGTACAATGTTGTGTTACTCATTTTTGGCAAACTGATAAGATAATACTACAATTTTTTTACCAGTAAAATTTAGAAATTTATGATGCAAAATGGTGTAATCTCAAAAACGGTGTATGGTCTAAGAGAATAAATACAAAACACATTAATTTTTTAAGAAACTGTCAAATTTTTCAATGGAGATTTTCCACTGCAATGGGAATACAAGCTACGCACTTGACTGCGTTATTGAGCCATATTGGAGAATTTTAAGTTTTAAAGAAATTAGGTCAGGAGTAATGTCGGTAACACTTAACGGTTAAAAAAAAAAGAAAATATTCGACGATTGAAAATAATTTGTTAGTATGTTCCGATATAGAATATTTAAACGAAATTTAAGCATGCATCGACGCAAAAATAACATGTTTGAGTTATTTCCCTTCAAAGTGTTCAATCCCATTGGAAACCAACTTTTAAAGATATGCATTTTCTGTGATACAATTAAAATATAAAACTCCTTTTGCTTCTCTCTGAGATAAAATATAACGTATGAATCATATAAAAGAGAAATCGTGCAAAGTACACATCAATATATTATCTAAATTATAGCGTCAATTTACTTCAATGCCTTCATTGATACAATTGATGCCAAGGCACATTATCCCTTTAAAGTTTGATTGATTTAAGGGTTAGAATATTTTTATGTTGAAGTTTCTTTTTATTTCATATTCAACTGCAATGTTTCAATACTGTCTGGATTAATCATCGTTTTGTGGTTTATGTTATCTTCATTTTGAGTAATAAATAACAGCGAGAGTATTGTACGTCGTTTAGAGAGTATTTTATGATGATCTGTGTTGACCAAACGCTTGAGATGCCCGTTTGATAGTCTGCGTTACACGACGGTAGTCGGAGTGTTGGTGTATTTATCAGGGGCAGCTTAATCCACCTTCTACCATATCGATATTTATTGCCAGATCTCCTTTAAATATATACTCCGATCATTTAAGACCCTTCACGTAACAGTGTACTTTATAGATTACAAACATTTGAACGACCTCATACTGTTAAGTACATCTACAAGAAATTACAGATAAACCTCATCTGCATACAATTATGAAACGCATACATATCTTTAACACTTTTAATTTTCAACAATCCTATGGTAAAATCTACAAAACTCTAGAGTACCAACAAAACGCACAAGTCATAGCATTATTTCTTCGCAACGGTGTAGTTTAAAACACTGATTATATAATATCCATCGATGTATAAACCTAACACATAACACTTGTCGTTCTGTTAGGGATGCTTAATTCAAGGCGAGGTAAAACGCTTCCTGGCAAAATTTACCCATTTGCAACTTTCTTAAGTTAGCGAGTTCCATGTCCAGCCACAGGGCAAATGCTACTTTGGAATTCAACTATCTCTGCTCCAAATTGATCTTTAACCTCAACCTTTCAAAGCAAATAGTACATGATATTTCAGTAGAAATGTGTCTTATTTATGTAATCTGTAAACATTTGCTTAGCAGGCAGAATTGTTTTACCTTCATTCATCAACGATGAAAGAGAACGTAATGCTGAAAACAAAAGAATGTATTAAGAAATTGAAGAGGATGAATGGATCGTTGCTGAGTTCTTATTATGATATAATTTAACATTCAAGCAACGTAAAAGTAAATAGGCGTTTTGCAAATCAGTTAAACTACTGAGAATATGCTTGCGAGGTGTGTGATTGAAACATATTTTAAATTCACAAACTGATAACACTCTGTAGCTAACACAAATCAAATTTCAACAACACTTTGTTTACTTGTAATTTATATTATTTCGCAGAAAATATTTTCATCTCAGGTTTTCTCATAACGGCAACCATTTCCCGGAAATAGTCAGAGAGATGTATTGCTATACTCCACCTTTATCACAAACCGATCTCTTTTCTGTCAATCATACGATATAAGTAATATGAGGACTTATCAATGGAATAAAGGGGTACATCCTCACTTCTATGTCAGATTTTACATGACATTCGAGCGTAAACCATTGAATACCCTCTATATGAATACCGAGCATAATGCGATGTTGTGAATCTATGATTTACATATTCCATTGTAGTTGTTCTTGTTAGGAGTGCAGAGGCATAGAACATAACTAAGCAATTAGCATAATTTGTTTATCCTCGTAATACCATAATAATCATTTTAGTATATCAGATTGTCTTTTTGTTACAAAATATCGGAAAGTTAGATCAATGGTAAATATGACGGCACCAGATTCCTTAATATGTTCTGTAGGTATTATTGAGGGTAATTGACTGGCCGCTGCTGATGTGATAAGGAATACTGTCCCTAACTGGTCACAGTTGCGTTCTCCTCAAAATCGGTAACAAAAGATATAACTTTTATATTAAAACCCCAGCTAATTCCAACCATTTTAATTTTGATTTGTACAAACTGTCTACGTCCCCAGTATTCTGTGCTGCAGTGTTATGTTTGTAGTGTGAAGTTCATTTTATGATAGAATCAACATGTTGCCTTGAACAATACAATAAATGCGGGTGTCCTGCTTTTGGTAACCTTTATCGTTCATATTTTTTAGTTTTTAGTTATTTTTGTTATGAGTCGAGAGGGTTAAACATTGTTACGTATTATACAACTTCTAGACGTTGTAAATGAGTCAGAAAAGAAATTGTGTTTATTTTTCTGACCCATTAATAAAGACATCGTGTACTTTTTAGTTTTATTGGCCAGTTTTTTAAACTCAAGAATTATATGCTGATTTCTGAGTACTTTGAGATAGATTTTATATGAATTGCCTCCCTTTGATATACACTCGCAGCAGGAGGTGACGTTTTCAAGAGAGCTCGAGATCAGTCGGTGGAGAACGGACATAAATTGTGCGGCAGTGTTAACGCTGATATCTGCAATGCGTGCAGAACTGAGTCATTCCTGTGAGGTGTACACTTTAACGAGAGGGTTGTACTCGACATGGTGACATAATGACTGACATGCTACGACATTTTATAATCCAGTCGTTGGTTCTGGTTCTTCTCTTACCTGAATGACATTCATGATTTTATATAACATGTACAGGCATTGCAGAGCATTATTGTTCTCGTTACAATACCACCATTTGTCCAGACATATTTTGGCGTTGTAAGGCGATTTGATATATTATATTGGGGAGCGCTATACAGGTATTGTTAAATATGATAAATGTGACAGTGGAATCGATATTTTACTGTATTGAAGTAAAATATATCATTGCTTAATTGAATAAAAAAAAATGTTGTTGTTGTTGAAGATATTTAAGATTTTATATCTTTTAATTATTAATCTATATATGATAATTTAAAAAAAAGTAAAACGAATGTTAGCAGATCTGCATTGGAATATATCCTTATCCCTTTAAAGTCACTTTTCCCCAACAATCACAAGTCAGTTAAGTAACAATATGTAATTTATGTAGTCTCTTAATATGACTGTATTGGTAAAATGTGTTTGAACATATATCTGATATCTTAGAAATCAATTGTTTCTTATCGCGACTAAACGTGAAATATAATATCATGTTGAAATAGAATATCCATTGACGACATTTTTTATCGATCAAACACATTTTCTAAAGATTCATGATGGTATAAATCCCTATTAAATGCAAACATTTTCTATGTCATAGATAAAACTATAAGTTTACCTATGTCCAAAACAGCAAAGAAACTTTTATTTGTGTTATGCTTTTTGAATGATTGTTTTCATACTCATCATATAATTTTAAACAAACTTGTTTTACCAAATGTTGGAACGATCTTTTCTAGCAGGAAAAAGCCGATTTTCATTGGTCAATATTTCTGTCATTCGTAAACTATTCGTGAATTCCCGTCTGAAGTTTGACCTTGATGTCTAGCAGGAACAAGCTGATTTTCATTGTTCAATATTTCTGTCATTCGTAAACTATTTGTGAATTCCCGTCTGAAGTTTGACCTTCATGTCACGCCATGATTGGTTGCCGATTACCCTTACATTTGTTGTTATTGTGTTGTTATTAGAGTGTAACTACAGTTTGGATTGGTAGGATTATCTATGGACTGTGTAAACAGAACTGCAAATATTCATACATTCAAAGAACACGTATATTATGTTTCCTTTCCTTTTTTTGTAGACATATATTTTATTCAAATCTTTACTGGGCATGACATGAGTCTAATAAATTTGTATATAACCTAGATCAGGGTTCATTACGTCATAATAGGGGGACGTATTCTAATGTTACTCCCCTAACTGACTCATCGCCAAAACTGTTATAAAGTACATATGTAGGCACGCTAAATTCGCTCACCCATGTGACTGTTACAAGGCCAAGGTAACGTCCAACCTCTCGTATAACATCAAGTTTTTTCGCTTTTATTGGTAGCATGGATTTTCAAAAACACTCTAATTATGTTTGTTAGAAAAATAACGTGGGGAATTACAATCACTTACAAAAAAAGAAAACAACACATTGAATAATAAGCAGAATTACTTTATTGACCTATTTCTTTTCCCGAAATATAACAGACAACAATTCATGCTTTAAACACTTAAGTATTGCTTCATACCCATAACACTCATTACTCTGGACCAGCCCGTGTATAGTGTTTAAAGGGAGAAAACTCTGGTTATCATGTCAATCTTTTCGGGGGCAATAAACATGTCTAAAGTTAGAACATAACCATTATATACATGGACAAAACACCATCCTTTACGTACATCATGCAACAGATGAAGCCTATTATTCAAAGAATCCTCTGCAGCCAAACCTCACAATGTCGACGTCATTGCTTACTTCGAGTCAAACCCTGTTATGTCGCCAATTATTAAAATCGAAATAAACAAGTATTTGAGATATGTTGGTGTTCAATAAGGAAGTTTAACTGAAAGGCATGTAAGTACCAAGTAGTTATTAATTCAAAACTAATGTTTTTTTTTTAAATAATGACCTGAAATCATCTTGCTGCTGGTGATTGACAATTAATCAATAACATTACTGACATGTGGAACATCCTCCAACCTAATGTAGTTAATTCGATGACAGTTAAACAATTGGATCATGAAGAAGATGCACATTGTAAAAAACCCGCAGAAATATTGCTTAGAAGAAAAAATAGAACTATGAACAGTGAAATTACAATATAAATCAAAGAATACATTTATATTACACACCGAGTATCAAAAAATCGCAAATCCTGTTCATATGTTTATTGCCAGAATAAATCTTTATTATGTATGCTTCCTCAGATATTAGGATTTTAAGATTATGTAAAAATTAAAAAGCAGAATGACCACTCATAACCAATCTCTTTTTTGAAGATGTTTGTCACACAGGATTGCATATGTTCTTCACGATAATGATTCAAAATAATTGTACTAAGCCAAGAAACACTACACATAGTTAGACATGTATTAATATATAAAAACACAATGTTACTATTTTCATTTTGGCAACATTGAAAAGTCCGAAATGCATTTGTATTAAAACATGCAGTACGATAATGATTGTATTAATTATCCAAATTGGACATTCTGAATTCCAGGACATGCATGTTTTTTTCCAGTTTTAAGAATCATAGTTGTACCAGTTTATAACTTTACCCTACGTTTTATGAAAGTTTATGTTAATGTATTAAGATTGTAGAAATACATCTGGAATACGTTTTTAGCCCAAAAGATTTTTGTTTTTGCTTTTGCCTTTTTTTTTGATTCAGTGATAGTAGTAAGGAACAATAGGATAGCTATATGGAAACAGAAAATGGAGATGTGATTAAAATATACAATTAATGAGAGTTATAGAGACAGATGTCATACACACATGATATATTCCTACCATTTTGTTTCAACAAAATGTTGTTGTGTTAACAAAAGGATTTGACAACAGGCAGTGCCTATATGAGTCTTCTCCCGAATCTGATATATTCCTACCATCAGAGATACGACTATGTTAAACATGATATGGTAAGTACATTGCTCCGATGATTGATGATAAATTGCACTTAAGAGTTAATCGAGACAAAACCAAGGGAAGTACGTGATTAAACAAATCTTTTCACCAGGAAATCGTTTACAACATAAGCGAGATTTCTTGATTGACACATGCATAGTTTTCCTACGAAAGGCAGTGCATATCATGTTTGAAAAACGGTTCATGTTAGAAACACAGCATATTAGAAAGAAAAATTAATTTAAGAGCACTATTGCTCAATTCATATAAGCATCGTATTATTATCAATGTTTAAAGTAAATTTACTCGTGTTAATCAATTCAAATCTTTCTCAAGTTAATTAAAACACGACTTTATACTCTCCTCTGTCACTCCTCTCCACAACATACCAGATCTCTCTGACTTTCCAGCCTCTCCATAGATTAAATATTAAATATACAAATACGCGTAATAGTGACTGACAAGAAGTGTATATTATAAGTACTTTCTACATTGTACCTGTCAGATTTTTGACACCAATATCTCATCTGGTTAGCATGCACACCGTCACACGTAAACATTTTAACATTATAATATATTGTACATATCATACGTCTATATACAGTAAAACAGCCAAGGATGAGCTCAAATCACATGATAAGTCGTACCTACATTCATCATAGAATTGTTGATAAACAACCAATCATAATAAAATACTATATATTTTAACACTTACAAACGTAGTTATTAACTGTATATTGTTACTAAGAGCAAGATACTACATAACGTTATACACAGGGATATAATATTTTTTTACACAGTGATATATTGTATATTGTTTTAAATATACATATACTTTATATGGTTATGCATAACAAGATACCTTATAACGTTATACATATGGATATAATGTACAAAGTAATATGCTGTATAGTGACATGATTTCGCACAGTGGTATTTTCGCATTATTTGGAAAAATACATATCTACCTTTTCGCGTAGTGATACGTTTTCGGTTGAGACAATGTAACTAAATAATCGCTGTCAAGTTAAATAATTTGATTTACTTTTAACCTCAAATTCACAAGAAATACACTGCCTCGAAAGAAGCATTCTATACAATATAAAATATCATAAACGGTGACTCAGATGTTTAACTAATGACCATCACAAAACATCTCCAGTAATTAAGTTCCTAATATACAAAAAACCTACAGCTACAATGTATATATAGCTCAGTCAAGTAGTTAATATAAAAACACCTAGCTCATTCGAGTTATTGATATACAAAATCTACAGCTATATATAACTCAGTCTAGTACTTAATATACACAAAACTACAGCTATATATAACTCAGTCTAGTACTTAATATACCAAAAATCTACAGCTATATATAGCTCAGTATAGTACTTAGTATACCAAAAATCTACAGCTATATATAACTCAGTATAGTACTTATTATACCAAAAAACCTACAGCTATATATAACTCAGTCTAGTACTTAATATACCAAAAAACTACAGCTATATATAGCTACGTCTGGTTATTAATATACAAAAACCTACAGCTACAGTATATATAGCTCATTCGAGGTATTGATATACTAAATCTAAAGGTATATATAGCTAAGTCTGGTAATTAATAAACAAAAACCTAGAGCTATATATAGTTCAGTCTAGTAATTAAGGTACGAAAGACTACAGCTATATATAGCTCAGTCTAATAATTATTATACACAAAACTACAGCTATATACAGATCAGTCTAGTCATTAAATTAAAAAACCTACAGCTATATATAGTTCAGTCTAGTAATTAAGATACAAAAAACTACAGCTTTATATAACGTAGTCTATCAATTAACATACAAAAACCTATAGCTATAGATGTATAACACGAGGATATTGTGCAAATAAATAAATGTTACAGAAAGCGAATTTACATACATTTATACATATAAAATATAACATCTTTCGTAATGTGGAACGCGCATACTTTTTTTAACTAAGTCCCACTGTTAATTAAACCGGAAGAATATGAAAATCTTCCTACTGCAGTAGGCGGTAGTTACCTTAGTATTGTTTGAATATGACATGTTTTACTCTATATGTAAAAAAACACATAATAAAGCGAAATTATCGTAACAGCTAGCACTACGTTTGCCAAATCTGATATTCTTAGTTAATTCATACCAGAGGAATTAATCATGCTTTGGTTTATAGTCAAGCATATCACAATTAGCTTAAATTCATAGTCAAATGAATTGCCGTTAGCTTTGATTCATAGTCAAATGAATCACAAATATGTTTTATTCAAAGTCGAATGAATCGCATTGAGTTTTGGTTCAAGTAAGGAACTGTTTTTTTCCTAATTTGTGTCTTAACAGAGAAACTGTGAAATAGAAACAAAGTTTCAAGTTTATGAATATGTATTGTCATACTAGCTGAAGAAACAACCAACTCAGCTATAGATATTACTGTCGATAGCTCTAAACATAGGAATTGATAATAATAACAACATTTCAAATATTTAACGATAAGAAACAATTATATAATGTGATGTAGCTCGATATGTTATTTAAATAAATACAATATTTACAAAAATGACTAGACTTTAAAGATGTATACTATCTAAGTAAAGAAAACTAAAGAATAAGAACACTTTAGTGTTTCTTACACACAACCAAGGGAGACAAGTATAACGTTAAATATAATGATACCCATTTCAAAGGAGAACTGTCACAAAACAAGTGATTCCTGACCTGTACAAGCTAAGCAAACTAACATTTTATTGGTAAGGTACAGTTGTTTTAACGACATACAACTCGAATCAGATCAGGATAATCACAGTTTCTGGCCTCTTGACAGTGGACATCTTTGGAATTCCAACGGTTTCGCTCACTATTGTCTCTGTACCTCAGCTCCGGACAATGTCATGGCAAAATTGCAGGCATGCGGCTAACTATTTGATTGGTTTTATGTGAAAAAACCCAACTTAACTGACCATTGGCTAGGCTGAACTAAACTGATCATTGGCTAGGCTGACACCAATTCTTTGAAGATAACTAAGGAGCAACATCTGACCTCAAAGCCGGTCAATTTTACAGTTATGCTTCCGCGAAATTCTTTTGAGGTATAAAAGGTTAAAAATGTTTTCTTGTATCATCCACCAGGTGATGCACACTGACCCTTCAATTTTGTCATGACTTATTCCAGGGGTGCAGAGAACGCAAGTGAGCTAAACCCCATTGAATTTCGAGGATGTTTAGTGGATACATGTAGATAAACCAAATACCTATGGGCATGGTACTCAAGACCGGTTATACTGCAGAAAGCCGAAATGATAGGTATTTCATCATGGTTGACAGCAGTGCCCTATATTCTCTTGTCAGGAACTAGGCAAAGTTAACATTTAGCATTGGAAAAATTAAAAAAAAAATGATTTAATGTAAATTTTTAAATCTTAATCAACATGGCACGAAGACAACTTTGCTATGCTAAATAAACGTAGTAACTACTACGTACGCGTTGTAGTTCTCTACACGTCGTAAACCGCCATAGAAATGTTATTGTATAATGACTCTTTAATGACAAACACATCTTTATTAATTAGTATTAAGACACACTGCAGAATCTGAAATGTTACATGATATGTGAGTAAAATCTACATATAATACCTATCCTCGAAAGAGCAGTATCCAGCCTTGTCTTCGCTCTGCCGTGTAGATAACCACGTAACACACAATTACTTAGAATAACATGGAAAACGTCATACATATAATTACGGAATGAAACAACCCGTAAACCATGGCAAGTTAAAAAAACTTATTTTATACAATTGGTCGATCAAGGTCAAGAAATGCTGACAAACACACACCGTGTTTTCCCCAAAATTATATCCAGAAGTGCGACAATAGCAGAAGACTGTGGATTGTGCCACTCATTGAAATATGCAGTCATGTGTCATTTCATTGACCAACTCCTGGTTATCCTTGGTGATCAAGCGAACAATTCGCAACACTCTTCATGCATGAATATGAAGTAAAATACCTCGAATGTCAGGATATCAGTGATTTGTACTTACTAGTTTATCTGAAGAGCTTGTTTTACGCATCCTTACATCCGAGACGAACAATTTGACTTCATATAGTGTTTATGCACTTAATTTACTTTCACTCTTGTCGCTTATCCACAGCACGATGACTTGCTTTCGTTTTTACTTTCAGCTAATTGGAGGCCGACTGTTTTCACTTCCAAATCTTCATTGGCTCTCATCAACCTAATTTAGAAAGTAAACGGATTCGGATAAAAGTTAAAGGTAATCATTTTATAAATTAAATCGAATTAATTACAAATTCATTAAAATCTTATCTAAGATCTTATTTAATAATATCATTAAGGACACACAACACATTTTGACCTTAAACGGACCTCGTACCACTGCCAAAACTGTCATTATGCATATGAAACCTTTTTTTTCAAATTGACTAAAGGTTTGTTAAACCCCATCGTATCTTGCGGAATGTTTATGAAAAGAAAAGTGTTCCAAGTGTGAGAATGCAATAGGACACGTCAAGATTCCAACTCTTCGATAATTATACTGTCGCTCTACCCAACATATCTACCTGGTCAACGGTACCATCCTAGCATAGCCGAGGTACAATTATATCAATGGGGAGTTACTGCATGTACGAAAAAAGGAACCGAATTCGCTAATGTTTTTCCTACAGCGGGACAGGGATCCTTAAGAACGGTTTACGTTAAAGCTCTTACCTCGTTAATTCTATGACAGCTTCTGTAACGTTTGATCCATCCTTGGCACTGGTTTCTATAAACAGGCTATCACACTCCTATAAATACACATAACGAACAGGTCATCATTGTAATGGCATTGAAACATGCAAAAGACTTTTTTGACGTATATTTTAGTGTCAGAATTAATCTTTATATATCAATGAATCAATTTAGTTTTGTTAACGTCATAAAAGCCTTGGTTAAGATACCTAATCCGCATTCTATACGTTAACATGTAATCTTATTCGGTTTTAATATCACGAAAGTGTGGTGTGCGCATTTTACCTATTTGTATTACCAAGTAAATACCGTGTTTGGTATTATTGTGTTAATTAACCTTTAATACTTTATCCAATATGTTATATGCAACCCTCGTCTTGTAGGGCTATAGTGTATTAAACATTAAATTAGGAAAAGAAACAATTATGTCTAGCAATAAACTCGCAATATAATATATCGTTTGCTCTCTATATAATATGATGTTCATGCCTATTTCCATAAGAAAAAGATATTTTTGCGCATAATGAATCACAGATGTTAAGCACATAATCTTCTTCAAATACGATTGGACGAATTCTCTATGTAAACAATAGGAACTTAATTATTATCATGACAAATTCAAATACTGTAATGATGAATAAAATATGTATACGTACCCTAGCCAGTCTCTGTCCGTCCTCGTAGTGGACAACCTTCCGCCCTTGTTTCTCACTAGACTCCCTTAAATCGGTTTTATTTGCACACAACATAACAGGGATGTTCTTTTGAGCGCTGTCCTAGAATTTTGAAAGATCACTTGGGTTAATGCCAACTATGTCATAGCAACTTAAAAGAACTAAAACATTATTTAACATTGTTTATGTTTCTTTCGTTGAGTATGGCCTTTGATTAAGTTATTTATATTGAAGTAAAACATACTATAATGTTATATTAATTTCTGGTTTAACATACAATTTCAATACCAGAATAATCAAATGGATTTAAACGCACTTTTAAAATTTTGCATTTTAGCGTGTTAAATTGAGGGCAAATTCAACGAGAATGTACTAATTTTTGTGGGCTCACCCCTATTGATTCCTGCCATTCCCTGATGCTTAGGAAGGATCTCTCGTAGGTACAATCGTACAAAAGGAAAACACCATCAGCCCTCCGGAAGTACGACTTGGCGATGCTGCGGAACCTGTAGTAGAAACCAAGGGTTTACCATATTAAAACAACCAAAAGGGGTGGTCTGCATACATGTTATACATTATTGTTCTTCATTTTGGCAATGAATTATACAACACAAGCAGTTAAACGACAACATACTAAAAGTTTATCATTGTATCCATTGATAGTAAGTGAACATACACTCTCAACTAAAATTCTGAAAATAATAACGGGAGGTAACTGAATCCTTTCATATTCCGTAAGGACACGTAGATGTTTGATTACCATTAAGTATCAGCAGAACCATGGATAATATCGTTTATGAGTTTACATTTGAAACAATAATAATCTAAGAGCCTTGATTGTGTTGTTTTCTGACGAGTCCCTAAAGAGCGAAATAAAACACATATATTGCACGGATCATTGATCAAATCACAGCAGACTGCTAGATCTGTAGGTTCTGCGGGATGCTGGTGTGCGAGAGTGTAATATCCGTGTTTTAAGGACGTTGTTCTGATTAAGTTTGGAGTGTCGTAATACATACAAATTTATCAATGAAAAAATTAAAAATAACTTCTTTAATCCACTGTGTTGACGTTGTATGAAAACACAAAGATTTTTATAAAAATAACAGGAGGATTTGTTTTTGTGTCACTGGTCGTATGGTTTTGTTATAATGCGGTTATTCTATTTGGAATAGTCAACCGTGTTTGGGTTAAGTTGTGATGTGACGCTTGGTAAATAGGTTGATAATTACCAAAGGTGATTGACACCCGCTATACGTCTTCAGCTTGTGCAACATTACCTTATGTTCCACTGTATAAACTCCATATGGAGGTCAATTTAAAGGACACCGGTGAGACAGTCCTCGTTTATATTTAAAGCCATTTATCAACAACACTCAGAAGTGCTGTTTCAGTAGTATGATTAGGTATTAAACACTAATTAATTTGTATTTATCTTTAAGCCCAAATTTTGTTTGATCTCATAATGCACAGAGATCAATAGGTATAAGCCTTATAGATTGGAATGACCTTTGCCCTTTTCTACGCATAGGGCAATGCAGCTTATTGAACGAAATTCCTTGGTGGTAGAATATAATCTCCAACATATTCCAATAACACCCATAAGTCGGCACGACAGTGAGTTATAATATATAAACAAATCGATATAAAATTAACGTTAGGCTTTCTTCCACAATTCGTTTGATAAGGTGTCAATAAGAGTGAAAGTAAACAGGTCAAATTTATCCCGTACAAGACAATGAAAATATACATGTAACTGACTTTGAAGACACACACACACAAAAAAGAAATTTATCCTATCCGGTTTGAATTATGTCAGAACACATAATCACTTTTTTCAACAACAAACACTAATTACGATTTAATACACTGACAGGATTACCATACTAGTTTTAGCATGCACCCAATATATCATCCAATCTAATCATGCAAAAGCAATTCTTCCATCAAATACAAGACGCTTAACCGTTATAGTTACCCAGCATTACTCTGTATACAAGGCTGTACAGAATAGTTTTTATTCTAATAATATAAATAAATTCTAGGTTTCAGGTAAGTATGTTGTGTGTTCAAAAAATTGAAGGTGCGTATTAATTGAATTATGTGGTTAAGTGAATATTCCTGAAGTTCTTCTTTTCAAGTTGAAGTTTCAAGTTGTAGAACAGTTGAAAATTGAAAAATAAAGGAAAGAGAAAGAAGTGATATTTCCAGTTAATTGATTAATAAATAATCCAGAAATAGATACACAAATTATTTCCTACTATGACGTCACCTCCTTCTTTGCCATCTGCCGTTGAGGAAATGCATAGTAAGGGGTTTATGAACCAATAATAGTTTGATAAAATACTATGATGTACATTGTCGGAATGGATCTGTATTTACAATGTGTCTAAATGTTTTCAGCAGTATCAATTAAACATGGATTAGATATATTTGTTGTACATATGTAAACCAGAATCTCAAATGATTAGTATATAGTATATGACGACCCTGAACCTGATTTGCTTTATGATCAGTTAATGAGATCTTTTATATGGAATATTTTCAAAAAGGTTAAAATAAAACATAGAATATATAGCGAGATTAAGTATTCATGAGAAAATTTTCAAGGACCTAAATATGTAATTTTGAAAATGTTTGTGTCAACGACTCATTTACTAATATGACTATGAAGAACGGAACGCTGGTAACACATTATTTCTTGAATCATAATCGATTTGAAAAAATCTTTTGCTGAGCAATAGCGAAAATAGATATTAACGAAAATCATGTGATTACAAGCACTCGCATAAGTATTAAATGTTTTCAGAAAATCGAATCTACCGGTTTATTGACAAAATTCAGAAAGAGTATCTCTCGATCATATTAGCTATATTTAGTTGTTACCATCAACAGCAGCCCGTTGGCTCTTACTTCATAACACAGACGAACGTTATAACATTGTCAGCCCAAATATACAAAAGATCCAAGGTCCTCACCTTTCCTGTCCTGCAGTGTCCCAGAGCTGAAGTGCTATAGTACGACCATCTACCTCCATCACTTTCGTCTGGAAATCCACTCCTATCAAAAATACATGACAGGATGTCGAATATCAAAATCGTTCTTGTCCATTTTTCGACAATGTACTGATGCAGCTATTGTTACTCCTGGTCCTTATTACATCGTATTAAGTAATGAAGTCATTGCTATTACGGCTTAGGTGTTCCTTATTAGTTTAATGATATAGCTATGCGTTATCTTTCATGAAGTATCTTATAATATTTTTTTTGTAAATATCTAGAGCTAAATTTGAATATAAAGGATCCAAAATCAATCTATGATTGGGAAAACACATATACAAAAATACCCCTTTTTGTAATTTATGAGATAATTCGTTATTATATCAGTTTATCTATTTAAGGTGAAGGCTTGTTAAGCTAAACAAGCGTTGAACACATGGAACTAAATAAGCATACCTTAGTTTTTATTACGGCTTAACGTGATAGTCGTTGATACTGTGCCTTTACATTTTTAATTGCAGCATATACTTTTCTAATAGAGTTTTAATCTTATCAATATTTAATCTATACATCAATTACATCACATCAAGCACTGTATATTAATTAATATTAATCAATATTATGATTTTATGAAACCAGAATGGCATGTTGAAGTCAGGTACAAATATTTGTATGTTTGTTTGTTTGAGTTTAACGGCCCATCGACAACTATGTTCGTTTAATTAGGGTCCAAAAATTCTTTAAAAATATGTATAATGTCTCGTTTATTTTACAAAATCAGCAGCAGGGTAGGCTTAAAAAGTTAAAATAGTGCTATGGGATGAAATATCAAAATTTTGTTTAAACATGTTAAGACTGCAATGGAAAGAGATGATGTATATAAATGCCAAAAATGACCATATAGGTTAAAGGATTAACAGTTTATATATCAGACCGACGTCTTTTTATATTGTTGAGTAATGCCTCCAGGTCTATGGTAGTGAAACGTTTTCATGTCCGTGACATTGAAGTATCTATCACGAATGTATCTAAAACCTTAACATTCTATCAAAATGTGCTCGACAGTAAATGTAGAGTTGCATGCGTGGCATGTAGGTCGTTAGAACGTATCATTGTAAACAAAAAATGAGTGGAACATGTAGAATAATTAATCTTGTAACGTAAGTAAACTTACCCAGAGTTGAGCTGAGATTGGATACAAATTTGCCTTTGCACAGCCTCATGATGAAACTTGATTTGCCTGTGGCTGCATCCCCAGCCAGTACGATTTTGTACATCCTCTCTGGCTCACGACTGACTGACCGCATGCTCTGTTGATTGGTCAAAATATATACGATTTAAATAGAATAATGATGCAAACAAATGTAGTTCAGAGAAGATTTCAGGTAAAATATGGTTAACAATTGATACTAATAGTAATAGATAAATAAATAAAAGAAAGCGAAGAAAATGTGTACGTAATTAATAAAATCTCTACGGGGATATTTATATTACGTCATATGACATTATGTAATTCGAATCTATCAGATGATTCTGCGTCATATGTTATACATTTAAATAAACTTGGATATAAATGGGTTCCTTCGAAGATGCTCATGTATTCAAGTCAGGAATAAAATAAGCTCTACAAAAACACTTCCGTGTATTTTACAAGGAACAACGTTGTGCTTGTGACATCAATACTGAATTACACAAAAAATCCATATTAGATGAATTAAGATTGATAAATGATTTATGATTTTCCAAAAGGAGAAAAAAATCCTCGATCTTAAATTTTTTCACAACATTAGGTCAAATAATTTTGGATTACTTCAAATATTCTTAGATATTTCAACATGTGTAAACCAGAACACACGACATCTATATGGATTTGATTGAAACGCTCAACACGTACCTCCTTTTTGGTTGTCTGCTGCTTTCTCAGCGATCGGCGACCTCCCGAGCCGCCCGAGTCCCTTCCGGCCTGATTGTCACGACTCCGTGATCTGGCACTTCCTCTCTTGTTTGGTGCTACAGGAAGACGGTTAGCATCTCTGTACTTGTATACTCTGGGGTCACGCTCAAAACGTCCTTCACTTTCCGAGTCCTCGTCATGAGAGTCAGGATCCTGATAAAACAATATCAAAGAGTTTAACATGCTTTAATGTTTTTTCGAGATGAGTTTTTTTCAGAAACTAACTAAATTCAAGTGACAAAACATGCTCGTTAATCCGGTAAAATTGTAGATTCCTGAAATTTTACAGAATGAACGGTTTTGTAGAAACTTGGTTCTACTGAATAAAGAGCTTACTAAGCTTTATTGTGTAACCTTTGACGGTGTGTTCTGCTTATTATCATTTAATTCTATTTTTCACATGTTTACATGAATGATGATTACCGAAATAAACGGGTCACAAATGTCAGCACTCCCTGCTCTAATCTCAATATTTAGGTGGATTTTAAACATTTACTCATCGTTTTACATTCATCAATGTATATGCGTTCCTCCAATGTATGGTACAGGTACATATACGTTTTAAATGTGAGCCAGTTAGATTACAAAGTTAATAAGTATAGATACTTCAACAATGATATCATCCGAAAAAATGAAAAATTATTAATCGTAGACCATTAAGTTCAAGTAGTACCTTTACTATGGGTTTCTTTACTTATTCTGTATAGTATAAGCCAGCCAGGGATCAAAACGTATTTTCATTTTTACAATGTTTGGGATATTTGTAGGAATTTATAAATGAGTAGATAAATTTGTGAGTGCATATCATAGTAAATTAATGAAGAAATGAACAATAGAATCAAATCGTAAATGAGGTGTGAACATAAACTAAATAAACATTGAATGAATTAGGGACGAACGTTTACTATGTTACGGATCACTGTCACTGTGCTGGTAAAACAAAATGAAATTCAACAGTAAACATTTTTAGACATAGAAACCTCACCTTAATATCATTTTAGCTCAGTTGGGTACCGAGACAGCATACTGTCCAGAGTTTAATAACATTTCTTGCCCCGTTACATTTTAAAAACCTATAAGTATATTTTCCTTTACATAAATCATTTTACGAGTTAAAGTCATGCTGGAAAAATATGTTAATGCGTAGTTACACTTTTTGGCATCGGTATTCCGTCTTTGCGTATTGCAGAGTTATCTTCTCTTGGGAGTAGGTATTGAATGTTACGTCACTTGTTTGTGAGAGTAACGTCATCAATTTTTGGAAAAACGACGTAATTTTCTCACACAAACCAATGAGGTAACAATCAATACCTGCTCCCAAGAGAAAATAACTCTGCAAGACGCAAAACCGAATAGGATCTTTAATGCATTAAACTATCTAACGTTATGATTTCAAGCCCTATAGCATCACCCATAGAAATAAACTGTAATATGGGGAAAAGGTTACCTCATCGTCGACATCGACGTAGGCTCTGCGGTTGAGTCTGTTTTTGCGTGTGTTGCTATGTCTGATATTCTGGTCTTGAATTATTTCCGACTCCGAGTCTATGTCATTCTGGTCCCGAAGTGTCGAGTGCCCGCTGTCTGCTTGGTAACAAAACATGATTAATGGCGTCAATAAGTTCGGTAAGTGTCAAAGAAACACAGTGGTCGAAACAAGTCCCTGGATATCTCTACAATCACATTATCAAGAATAGTCCGTATAATGTTGCGGCTATGAAGTTTGCACTGGTGACCTTTTTTTAGACATTTATAATTTCGTGATTAACGGTTGAGAAACCCCCCCCCCCCCCAATAACTTTTGTTATTACTTCTAAAGTATGCACGTGCGTGGTGATTAACAAATAGGCGAAATTTACTCTCTTATAAGGAGAACTAAATAATATACTTGTAATAAACAACATAAGATAACGAATAAAAGACGAAACAATATTTATCGATTATTATTGATATTAGTTAAATGTCATAATGAAAAAACTCTAGGAAATAGAAACATCTACGGGGAAAGAATCAAGCAAACTAATTTCCAAAAGACGATAACATTAACCCCATTCAGGCCATAATAAAATTAAAACAGACACAACTGTTATCTCTAATTCATGCATGTCATCTTATTAACACTTCCTATTAAAATAGAAACCTTTTTTTAGCAAATGCTGATATGACATATTAGTATTTTCTGCAATAAGATGTACATAAAAAATAGATTTAACCTGTACAATATCTAAAAAACCAAAACAAACAACAACGTGTATACAACTAAAGGAAGGATTGGCACATATATAGTTTTCACAATATGTTTTCATAGTAAAAATAGTATATATATATAATTTCTCAAAATACGAGCAAGGAATATATCAGACGGTATATTTTATACTATTGGTTATATATATATCATTATAAACTGTATATTTCGTACTATTAGTAATAATATCTAAAATTGTAAACTGTGTATGTCATTATATTAGTAATATTATCATTGTAAATTGTAGGTTTCATACTATTAGTAATATCTCGATCTTGGTTTATTGTAGATTTCATACTATTAGCAATATATCGATCTTGGTTAATTGTAGATTTCATACTATTAGTAATATATCAAGCAATGTAAAAATGCAGATTTCATATTAAAGGAAGTATCTGTATATATTCTGGTTGAATCTATATAAAATGTTTAAGTTGTTAGGAATCCAGTAGGAGTTTGATACATAAGATGAATATGAATTACTTCCCTTTATTACTGTGCAAAATATCGATAGTTATGTCAACCTAACTCATGAATTATAAATGATATTCTAAGCGTAACATATATTTACACTGTGTTAGAAACTCTGAAGTAATTGTTGCCGGTTTGGTATTCCCAGATGTTGCATTTCCAGCTCAGCAGACTGGGACTATAATCAATATCTTACACATATAACATATCAAGGCAAGATCTGTATACATGATTTGTAGCTCAGTGTATTACAAAACACTGTCCATGTTGCATTTCACAGACAATAACTTATTATTATATATCCCTATTCACCTTAACATGCAAGAAACATCGTTTTCCATATAATGCGTAACCATGTGACGTATGGATTTATATCAGTTCTATATGTACATGCGGTACATAAGTATCTTTTCCTGTGTAAATCAATCTTGTAACACATCTAAACTTTATAATATCAGTAACTTTTAAACAGAACTACATTCTCCACACGAACTTAAAACGCAAAGGCGTTAAAAAGAACAACGACAGGTACAGAGGGAGAAACAAAAGAAATATGGTCATGATTCCCCCCTCCTAGAAAAACAAATAAACCGAATGCAAGGCCATGATCCATATGTTCACTTTGTAATGTCATGTATAATCAATCTATTTAGTACAACGCAACAAAGTAACATAAACACGATTGTTGAGTTATGATACAAACGGAATTATACTATTAATGTTTAACCTCTAAAACGTTATATAAGTCAACATTTGTAACTTTCTGTATGAGTCATCGTTGTTCATATCATGTACAGCATAACATGTTAGAACACATCTCAATATAATGTATATATTATTTTTTTGGCTTACATGAAATGTAGCATACGATTCACATAGATATATTATACGTAATAACATACCAGGAAAAGTAAAACTATGAAAAGCACCTATAAAAAAGCAATGTATACGACCGCGCGGTCTCTGTAACTATCCCTTTTGGTCTATTAACGCCAAACATCACCAGAATGATGAAGTTTTTATATTGTTTATAGAGTGTGGCTGGGACTAAGTCATTATCACAACCACTCAGTTGTAGATTGTAAAATTGCATTATTTATATTCCTTGGGGATAAATAAATGTGTTCTACGAGCACAAACGTAATGCACCAACGCATCTAGTGACGTCACACACGTTACTGTACGTGTTTGTGTGTAATACAAGTTGATTCCAACATCCTGTCTCTAACACTAGTCAAACATTTCTGGGAGGTCACCTGTTTATACATTAAACTTGCTTCAGATGCCACCTGTTTAATATTGCAGTCAAACCTGCAGAAGAGAGTATCTATCCATAATAACATTTAAACCTGTCTGATACGCAAGCTGTATATAGTTACCACCTGTCTTTTACTATAGTCAAACTTGCATCAGGGACTCTGTCCATACAGGTAGCTATATCTGAACTTGTAGAGAGACCGATCTTCTATAGCCACATATACAATTTGTGAATTTACTACAATCATATCTGCCTTATAGATCAACTACATTAAGCACACACATGCATACAACTATTACCTGTCTATAACTAGTCAAAGTGTTAGAGACCATCATTCTTTAACTACAGTCAATCTTGAATGTGAAGCATCTTGTCAATAGCTACAAACATGTACGAGAAACCACTATAAGTATCATTCACTACAACGTAACATTAGAGGCACTATGTTCCTATAGCTACTACTACCACCTGGCTATGGCCTCTGGTGTAACCATGTCCTAACACCATCTAAGTATTACCTCTTCTTCGTATTAGGAATTACCGTCCTTAAATGAACATAGCTGTTGATAGGACGTTAAACAATACCAAACCAAACTATAAGGAATCTGTCTATAACAACAAATGTTCTGCTTTCCTCATAAAGTGGCTTCCGTTGATAAATTTGAATGTTTAATTCATATGTAAAACGTCAATAATGTTAGTCTACGATACATGATGATTATAATTTGTTTACCAAGATCATCACAAGCATCGTCCTCTTCACACGTTTCGTCTCTCGGAAGTCGTGCTCGAATTATACGTGGTGAAGGTAAAGATCCGGAAATGGAAATGACGTCTTCGAGTAATTCATCTTCAGCAATGGAGGTTCCCCGACTGAGATTCAATGATTTCATACTGCAAAGTTAAATATAAAAACCGTGATTTTGCTATTGTGTAAGTGAACAAAAAACAGAACAGTAACACGTGTGAAGTGCATATTCTAACAGTAATGATTTTATCTACATTCGCACTGTGTCGTTAGTAAACACTAGATTAAAAAATGCATCGGATGCAAAGATATTCATGGCAGACAATATTTAATTTTCCGCACAATAACATCAAGAATATGTCACGATTTCATATACAGACAATTAAAAGCCTATCAAAAATAATCCATATAAACTTTATAATTGAAACAAAAACTAATAAAATCTGCATAATGTCACTAACTTCAAGTCGAACCACATGACAAAACAAAACTGTAGCTGTACTTACGAGGGTGGACCACTTTGTATGTAGTCGCTCATAAGAGATCCCCGCCGTTCTCTCTCTATCAAAGAAGCGTTAGAGGACGACCGAGAATGGTTCTGTATCTGTGCATGCCAAAAACCCACATACCATGACATTAATATTGCAACACAGCCTGGCAACAGTTCACCTTAACATGGAACAACGAGCTGTTTTTGTCATCACTACCGGGTCTATGTCCCCACTAGCGGGTCTATGTCCTCACTACCTGGTCTATGTCCTCACTAACGAGTGTATGTCCTCACTACCGGGTCTATGTCCTCACTACCGGGTCTAAGTCCTAACTACCGGGTCTATGTCCTCACTAACGAGTGTATGTCCTCACTACCGGGTCTATGTCCTCAATACCGGGTCAATGTCCTCACTACCGGGTCTATGTCCTCACTAACGAGTGTATGTCCTCACTACCGGGTCTATGTCCTCACTACCGGGTCTATGTCCTAACTACCGGGTCTATGTCCTCAATACCGGGTCTATGTCCTCACTAACGAGTGTATGTCCTCACTACCGGGTCTATGTCCTCACTACCGTGTCTATGTCTTAACTACCGGGTCTATGTCCTCAATACCGGGTCTATGCCTTCACTAACGAGTCTATGTCCTCACTACCGGGTCTATGTCCTCACCACCGGGTCTATGTCCTCACTAACGGGTCTATGTCCTCACTACCGTGTTGAGGGAACCAGACAAGGTTTGTCGTCGTTGTCTGATGATTAGGCTAATTACATCTAATTTGATCGCGTTGTCAATATACTTATAAACCACTGAGGTCGAACGGTCTGATGTGAAGATAATGGATCTGGTTCTAAATTAATTTATCGATTTTAAGAAGCAACGTAAAACTCTCTACTAATATGATGAAAATATATCGATTGAATGACATTAAGCTATTTTGAGCACATCAATCATAAAAATTATTTCCGGTGTAAACGGTAAGTCAATATACTTGGCCCACATGATATATGAACAGTTGAAGTTCTATTTTGGTCTTAAGATGTTTTTTTGTTTTTTTTGTTGATTCTTTTTTTTTATATATATATATATTGTAAATATAGCCCTTTGTGCGCTTTGAGTTGCATTACAGTTTTGTATACAGTTCTTTCAAATGTGACATCATTGATGGAGGAAAATTTAAGTATTTTCATATTAACTATCAAAACGCCATTGTATAGTTATGTTACAATTTATATAAAAAAAATGTCAGCTAATCTTCTATCCCCACTACCTTTATTTAAACATACACATTTAAATATGTTCATAGTATCGATATGTGAAAAATCAGGAGGTATGTGTGATTTTACCAATATATACATGTATGTATCTTATTTCATATCAAAGGAATATCAGTATGAATGCCGAAATTTTTATCTTGCTTATTAATATTTAGATAATGATTAAAACGACCTCATATCAACATTATACTGAACTTTTCTCTAAATGTCAGTTTCATCGGTCTTTTTTAACGCGAAATAGGATTGTAAGAGACAATTAATCTCAGCCTTTAACTGATGTCGGGGTGTTTTCTTCAGTTATTTTTGCGACTGGAATTGATCTGTTGTTTTTATTTTCCGTTTTGTTTCCCCCCCTTACGTTGTCTTTGTAATGATACTGACCTTATCATTCATTGTATATGACGCCAATTGTAAAGGCTGTTTAACAGTATGACATGTCACCCTCAAAATTGATGTTTTAATTCTTAGCATCGTCGTCATATGCTCTACAGTGCTTTTCCTAACCACTGTTGGTACGCTTTATGACGTCATTAATTAATTTGTATACAAAGAGAAAGTGTAGCTATAGCTAAGTTTAATATAAATAGTTTTTGCAAACCTGTTTATTACTAGTCCTTAATGCAAAGGGTAACAATCTGCTTTGGAGGAGTTACTTCCCCTTTGTGTATGTAAACAATGCGTCCACCACTGGATGTAGCTGTACAGAGAGAACTCATACAGGCAATGCCTGATGTCCAATCCTGTTGACTTTTTTGTCAATAAAATATGTGGAAATTAAAAATCATACAAATGTACTTGACACGAGTTACTTCCCCTTTGTGTATGTAAACAATGCGTCCACCACTGGATGTAGCTGTACAGAGAGAACTCATACAGGCAATGCCTGATGTCCAATCCTGTTGACTTTTTTTGTCAATAAAATATGTGGAAATTAAAAATCATACAAATGTACTTGACACGAGACCATTTGATATATTGTTGATATCAATTATTTGAATATTTCAATACATAAAATACTTACAATAGGGGTGGGGCTATACTTGGGGACACTTTGGTGTATGACCGCCTCCAGTAAATCATCATTCGTGTCGTGTAGCTGTTGGTTAGCATTGCTAGAACATCAAAACATACGACACAGCAAGGTTTAATGTTTAGAACAAATAAGGATGTCATGGACTTTCACAACTTATCTAAATGCATATTAAAGTCAAATTTTCGAAATACTTTAATCTGATCAAGTTGATATAATCCTATATCGCAACATAATATATTTGTTTAAAAATTCACTGACAGTATCCTATATGTTTAATATACGAAAATCTAACTTCTTTGTTTAAAAATGCTATACTGCACCATGCAACTTATTTTTTGGTATTTCATGGTCGTCACAAATGCACGTTTCTTCGATGATGGACTCTAAAAACGCAAATAAGAGGATTTTCAGTCCCCGAAAGTGATTTCCAGGACGTAATGGTCACAGCGGACATAAGAACACCAAGAAGCGAAGAATTCGTCTGAGTGAAAATCACCAACGTACAGGAAATCTTATGTAATAACTAGGAACCAACAGAAGGAGGAAAACAGCAAGTGTTTCATAATTATTACTTTGTATCATGTACAGGATGCAGGACGCTTATGTGATGTCCACAACATGTTCAAGTTGAAGAATGTCAGTGTTGTGTGTACAACTGTGCTTAGAAAACCGGAAAACGTAGGCAAACTTATTTTTGAAGGACTGTTATGAAGTAAAAACTAAATTAACTCATTCAATTTGTCTAAGCTATGTTTGAACAAATATATAATTACTTACAATTGTACTATGTCGTTGTTAAGGATATTTCAAACAAGCATGCCTACGCACAGTTAACCATAAAGTTCAATGACAAAAATATCGTGACAATTTAAATAACAGACCCACTTTGTTTCTTTATTAAATGAACGAAAGGTTGGATAATATGCAATGATATAATGTTAATGATGGCAGTTAGGTACAGTAGTCACCTATTACATAAACATGATGCGATACATCTATATATCCTAACTTAGTGATATATCTCTGTGATAGATATCTAAAGCAACGTCGTGTCGTTGTATAAACATCACCCACTGACATTTTTATGTTATATTTGGGTAACAACGAATTGCGACTTTGTGTTATCAGGGACGTATAGTATATACTGTCCCTGGTGTTATAGTGCTGTGTTTTTATATGATATAGAAGTATTTAAACCGGAAATCCCACTAAACGTTTTCATGTTTGGTGCAAAAGTTAGTGCATATTGCGTCATACGCGTTTTGGCTAAATGTAGTTGTGTTAATAAAACGAAACGAAAATGTCTTATCTTACAATATACAAAGTACATCAGTGCAAATGACCTTCTACGTTTTCTGTTCCGTTTTGATGCCCTGTAACGTGTCAGTCATAAAAGAAAATATTTAGAAAATATATTGATATCATGTGATAAAATCGCCAGTAAACCGAAATAAGAAAGCATTAGATAAATATGTCTAAGACTATGCGGAAAGCTAGGGTAAACAATGGACTCTTTTCTAGATTACTAAAAGTTAATTCATTTTGCCGGGCTCTATATGTATTTTTTTCTACGAACGATATATCTTGCTCTATCAAATCTGACCGTTAATAGGAGAGAAAAAAAACCGGATGCCGTTTCGACAGCATATACAGTAACTAACATAACATGTGAATCTAAAAACTACTTTTGCCGTGACAGAGTATTTAAGTAAATAATAACCAGTTTCATTTGATGTGAATTTAGTAAAATACAATAACATATGGTGCAAATAAAGTATGCAACATATTATTTGAATGAAAGAATTACATTTGCTACGTAAGAATACGAGTGTGAAGAGTGCAATTACACAAACATATGGTCATTCTGAATGATGTGATAGCCACACAACCTTTGTGATACATACTGTAGAAGATGGAGCTGGCGGGTAAGATTATCTTGTTCCTTCACGATGTCCATCACGGTCTCCTTCTCACTGTCAAATATTAATTCGAAAATTTCATCAATTTGGCAGATGATGATAAGTAACTGGTGACTTTGTAAGCTGAAAGTCAGTAAAACTCGCGCTTCTATATTACATATCTGTGAGTATTAAAATCATTGTAATACTACGAAAGAAAGAAAAAATAAATAATCGACCACACCGTCAATAAACACTAGAACAATAGAATGATACACAACTGATCAACGGAAACAAACGAAACCGGCAGAACAATACGGAAAAGGTTCTAATCGCTTGTCTTTGAGAAATTTTCCACCACAAATTCCAATAAGCTTGTTTACTCTTTTTCTTAAATGTCAATGTTTGCTTTAAAATAATATGTACTTTAAAACATTCTAATCGCTTGTCCTTGAGAAATATTTCCACCACAGTTTGCAATAAGAGTTGTTATAAGAATATAAGGATAACTTATCTGCTAGGCGATATACACTCAAGAACAATTTTAAGGTTTTAAATTCTCTTAATATATGGCAATGTTTGCTCGTATCTAAATTCATAATTATGGTTTAATTGATACTAATACATTTTGAATCGATAAATGTATAGTAATTAACCGTTTGGTCGAGAGACACTAAACATTCCAAATATCAAGAATATAACCAAAATTATTTGTACACGATAGCGAAAATATGCAAGTTAGATGTCTTCATTGAACACGCTATATATTGTCTGTCAGTCCCACGGAACTTATATGGAGTTTCGTGGTCTTTCAGGAAATTGTTGAATTTTTTATGGTATTTCATTTTTCAATGTATTGATTTTTTTATCGATGAATATATTAAGAGTTATTCAGAAAGTCAGGATAAGTCATACATGCTTTAAAACTCACACAACTAAATCATTTTCTACGATTGAGTACGAAAAATGGATGAGTTGCCCTTGGATAGCTCAGTAGCTCAATATGTCAATAACAACGACGACGAAAAAATAAAATTAAACAGTATGTCTGCCGGAGCATATACAAAATTATATAAAGACTTTTGTGGTACAGGATTAATGTGTTACAGAATTTGTGTGGGACCTGACTTTTCAAATGCTTCGAGACCAGATACCTATACCTAGAATCGCAGGGCACCAAATACGGTCATCGTCGGCAAGTTCCAAATTTAGATTCTCTATATCCAGTCTTAATTGTTTCTGATCTTTCCATATAAACATTGTTATATCAGGTTATTAGGCTAGCTATATCCATATCCATTAGAAGCTTTATGCAGAATTAGAGTTTGGCGATATGATTAGAAGATCTACAGACAAGTTCAAATGCATTTTCAACATTTATAAAGCCTATGTAAATTGCTGTAACGTTACAATAATAGTAATATGAAGTAACGCGACTTACCGATGAAGTTCCCGACACTTGTCCGTGTAGTTGTTGCGTACCGACACCAGTTCACTCCTGACGAGCGCCATGTTTGTGCGAGAGTCCGTCAACTCGCTCTTCAGGTGTCGATTGGCTATAACCATATCTTCCAAACGTTTTTTCATGTCCAAAAGATGTGTCTCCAACTCTTTGTTTTTCTGACCATTACCCTCCTGATCAACAGATAAAAAGAGCCAGAACTGATGACACCAAGGACGAGATTGTGATTTAATTTGATTATGCACATACCCGTCAATCCATCAACAATCAATACTGTCATCATAAATGAAATGGTTATGTGTTGAAATGGACACTGGGAGAAGTTGTTGATGATGTCGGTTTGCTGTACGTTCAAAATATGCATTAATTTTTATTTCGATTTCATAAAAAAACTTACAGGTCATCGACAACGTACCGTAATTTTAGTATTAATGGAATGTGTCAAGAAAGAAACTGATATATCAGGAACATGCGATTAACTGAATATATAAAAATATGGCCTCAAATTCATATTATTGGTTTCAAGATAAGAATAATTAATTACCCCTTTTCAGATTACAGCTGTCAAATCATTATAAAAATGGGAATACAACCATGAAGAATACACTTTCTAGGTTATCTCCCTTTATCTATATAATTTTGTACAATACACTTTATGCATGCAATGAGAGTATTGATTTATTTTGTTAAAGTCATTGAAATGTTAATTGACCTAATGAATACTGTAAGGGTCAGTTTTACGTTTGTCCAGTTGAGTTCTCTCAACAACTTATGGTAGTCTAGTTCATTCCTACCAGTTGATAAAGAGACATATATACTGTTAAGGGTCAGTGGTACTTTGGTACAGTTCTCTCAACAACTTATAGTAGTCTAGTTCATTTCTACCAGTTGATAAAGAGACATATATACTGTTAAGGGTCAGTGTTACTTCGGTACAGTTCTCTCAACAACTTATAGTAGTCTAGTTCATTTCTAACATTTGATAAAGAGACATATATACTGTTAAGGGTCAGTGTTACTTTGGTACAGTTCTCTCAACAACTTATAGTAGTCTAGTTCATGTCTACCAGTTGATAAAGAGACATATATACTGTTAAGGGTCAGTGTTACTTTGGTACAGTTTTCTCAACAACTTATAGAAGTCTAGTTCATTCCTACCAGTTGATAAAGAGACAAGTATACGATTACCTCCTGCATAATGGAAAGGTTCTGTTGTAATGTAATCAACTCTTCTTCTACTTCCTTTTTGAGTTCTGCCTTCTCTGCCATCACCTTCTCCTGTTCCTAATAATTGAAAACTAAACTGTCAATCGAGATAAATCTTGTGCCTCCTAATCGTTACGACTATTCAGATGGTTAAGGTTTGTCTCGGATTGTGAGATAAATACTTTGACATAGGTCTGCATTCAGAAGAATTCCAAACTAAGTAACCTCTAAAGTGTGTTTATGGATATTTTTTTCTGGATCGGTTAATTAAATGTTGATACATGTGAATGCTTGAAAAAAGAACAATAATTCAATTGTTATTTGATACAAGCATGCATTGATCAGGATTTATGTTACTTGTCCTTAATCACTGATAGTACCAATAGTTTTTTTCTTATAAAAATGTGTGTCTCTCAAATAGAATTGTAATAAACAAAATACGTTGTTAAAACATAAATGGTATAAACGGAAGAAAGACATTGGTTATACTTTTAGGTAATTACGGTTAAGGTATGCCGTACATATCATTGACAACATTCTTAGTAGTAAGATTAACTCTAATGTGATATTTCAAAGATCAATTTTTTGGATACATATGCATATATACAATCTCAGTATAATAAATAACGCTATTTTTAGCATAATATCATGCTTATTATGGAAACCGGTTAAGTATTAAAATGCCGCGAATATACTATATTTAGCTCCATATCAAACAATAAACTTATGAAATGGAGTTATCTTGCTCGGTCGTTTATGGTCAAACATGAGTCATGACGATTGCCGCCAGATGTCGTGTGCTAATCCGCAGACGTTTGCAGCTTAATAAACACCGAATACACATAGGCTGCACGTAGGTGCATGTCGAACTCTGCATGCATATATTCTATAGGGTAAGATAGTACACTTCAGGTGAATTTAATTTTTTCTGGAATTTAACATTGAAATGTATTCAATGCAGTTATTAACTTATTAACTTCCTTTCCACTATCCCACGCACGAAAGGGGGTGGGACATTTTGTAAGAATGGAAACAGCTGATGGTGTATAAATTTGAGTACAACAACAATTGGTTATACGGTAAAATCGTGGCAATCAAATCAGTGGCGAGGCATTCACGCGGAAAGGAATGTAACCGGATTCTGTATGACGTTAAGAACAGAGCTTAACATATCGATGATATAGCAGAGTATGTATCAGAATTCGTACGATTTGCCAAAAAGTACTAATGACATGAGGATAATGAATCGTACAATAGCAAATTCACAAATAAAACACACTTGAAAAATTAACTTATAAAGAATAGTTTTTAAATAAAAAAACCAGCAATAGCGATTTCGGTCATTTAACCAAATAAAGTCATGGATTTGTGCAGACTCGTATGTAATAGTCACTCTGCCTTTCCGTACGTGTATTAATCGCCTACGCACCTTCTGTCGAACTGTTTCCTCCATTTTTTTCATCTCTTTTTCCATTTCCTCCTCCAAATTTCTAAGGTGTTTCTCATGCTGGTCTTTCTCCCTAAAAAAAGCAGACTTTAGTTTATAATCTGATCTTACCTTAGCAGGAACAAATTAACCCAATGTCCACCTAGCACGGTTACGGTAGGTTTCTGGTACAGTGTGTTTAGAAACCAGACCAACGATTTGTTAGACGTGTTAATACAGTAACGGAAAACGGTGCAATTATCTTGTGTTTCTGATACAAATGACCCCATTAGTTTTATATGTAAATGTCGCTGTATTTATAAGCACAACAAAGGTCATATCAAACATGTTATGCAGACATGTGTCGTTATTCTAAACAACGTTTAGAAACACGAATGTTTTCTAAAGAGAAAATTGATTTAATTCTTGCAGTGGTATATTATGTCAGGATACTTATTTTCTATCCGATCCAAACCACCTAGTGCTATATTGGACTTTTGATAGTGAAGAGCTTGAGTTATGGTGAGCGAGGGGAGGTTGAAAAAGATAAGTAGGGTTATCAACCGGGGAAAATCGTACAAAGACTTGTTTTCGGTCACTATCATTTCTTCCTTAGTGTGCAGGGGCTCCATCAATATACTAATGATTATGCTCTTGGGATCCTGTCATAGAGGCGTAAAAAGGGGGTTATTTACAGTGAATATTTTTTTTTTGTATGTGCAGGATATAGATATAAGGTAAAAGATGGCGTATGTTTTAGCGTGTGATGAGGGTTTCAAGGGCTGCATAGGGTATGTGTGCCTTGAAGTCCTCGAGTGTTGTGCATGGTACTGCTGCCATAGGAAGGAGATTCCATTGTGCTAATATCTGTGGCAAGAATGAATATTTGTAGGTGTTCTTTGTAGCAGATACATGTATGTGTTTGTATGCAAAATGGGTGTGCATGTCTGGTTCGAGGGTTTACCGGTGTGAGTATATATGTTTGGTTTATTGCTACGATTTGGTGATCAATTTTATAAAAAAAAGGATTATTCTTTTGTGTACGCGCCGTGTTTGTAGTGTTGGCCATTGTAGTTTGTGGATGATGTCTGTTACTGAGCTGGTGTTGTGATATCTGTTGTTTACATTGTACGTAGCGTGCTGCTATTTGTTGTTTTGGAATTTAAAACGTGTACCTTCGGAAGCTCTTCTCCAGACGTTCGTTCTCCGTCTTGTATCCACGAACATCTTTTATGACTCCGAGGATAATGGCTTCAAAGTTTTCGAGAAGTTCCGGGTTTTCAGATGCGTGGAGGTGCTGGTACAGCTCACAGACTTGTTCCTGGCTAAAAACAAAAATAACGGTGTTATACTAGGGCTTAGGAAGTGACAATGCACCAGAAATGTTATATACCATGTGTGTTAAACGTTTCGGCAATTGTGGTGATACATATGAAGCGCGTGAGTGTGCAGGAACTTTGCGCAAATTTGTATTACCCATCATTCACAAATCATATGGTGTTTATATGTTATGGTTTTATTATGTATATTTATGATCAGTCATTGCTGTTATTGTATGTTTATAACTGTATATCAATTATTAGCTATTGCGGATATTTATGTTTATTAACAATTAGCTTTTGTGGTTATATGTATTGTGATAAATAACCATTGTCATTATATGTATATAAATAATTATTACATGTAGCGATTGCGGTTGTATGTTAAATACGACCTATTACGGTTTTATGTATATATCAACTAAAACAACAATTAAGAAAGAAAATTTTGAATTTTGTAATCATATGTTAAAAATTTGATCTAAATCAATGTTATGCAGTGTATGTATGGTTTGTTCAAAAACTGACATTAATAAGAAACACATGCAGATGACATAAATGTAATAAAAACTAATGGATCATTTTATGTTTCGTCGTCACTGGAGCTTTACATGCAGTGCAGACATTCTGTCTTGTTCAAACTTGTTAAATGGTCTAGGCTGTTATTATATACAAGTGGTATAAATACATACAAAAAGGCCGTGTTGACATGCTATTTCAACACTTATGCTTAGTTTCATAATGTATGTCTTTAGTATTTGCAGAAACACCTGCAAACTACCTGCTTAATGGATAACCTGTTTCTCTCTTTAAACCTGTTGTTCAGATAACACTGAATGCGTTTTCGGCTATACCGCGTTTGTTGTTACGAAATAATGAATTACTTTTGATTTTGTGGCATGTGTTTATACGACCAAATCGAACACAGCGTGTATTTTCTTTTGCTATTGGCGTAAGATACACAAAATAACTATTTGTTACTAAGTAAAACAATTTGAACGATTCACAGACAAAACTGTAATTATTCTACCTAAGTTATTGACCAGTTGCTTAAATCAAAATGATATTTGATGGTCTGGTAGATTCAATTTAATACACTGACATATGTACAATGTATATAATACATTCATGAAAATCAAGAAGTCGGGATATTTAACGGTCTGGTAGATTCACTATAATAGACTGGTATACGTACAATGTATGTCCTACATAAATGAAAATCAACGTGAATCAAGTCGATGGCATATAATGTTCTGGTAGATTTGGGCTAAGCATTGTTTACTTAGAGTAAGATTTAGAACAAAATTATCCCAGCTTACATTTGTATATAGTAATACACCTCATTCATAAAACCGTTCGTGCTGGATTTACGGGTAATCCTGTTCCTGCAAAGGAGTAAGAATACCTGAGGGATCATATAAGTTGATTACAAGATTCCACCGAACTACGGTTTTGTTGACACTTCGCTATTCTCTTGCTGTTATTTTATATCCAACGAATAGTTTGTTATGTTTATTATTTGACAGAAAATAGTAAATATTGCGTATTGCCTTGCATTGTTTTGGTATTTTTCCAAGCTGTTTCATGGACTTTCAAATTATTAATAATTAACATTATCTAAACCCGACTAAAACTGATTACCGATATTTTCTTTTATTTTTTTTTGATATTTAGACAGTATGCAGCACTCCCTCTGTAGCATTTCAAATTAGTGAACTTAGGAGAATGTTCTTTTGAAAGTCTAGATGTCTCTAGATGTTGGTCTAGAAAACCTACAATCTACTAGGTTATCAGAGAGAAAAGAAATGTAGCACAGTATGATAAATGTACTCTGCATAAATAAGAAGAAGAAAAAAAGAAAATAAATTGCATCTTTTGGGCAGCACATCCAAAGTAATTAACATATCTAGTTAAGAATAAATATAAAGGAACTCCATGCACATATACAATATGAAATGTCGTTTCGGTGATCCTTGGTTAAATGTTAAATCAACATTGCTTTACCCTGCGGCTAATACTTTAAGACTCTGATCGTAAACTTTTAATTTAGTTTGAGATGAGATATTGCTATGTTTATAATACGTTAAAGCTTTACGAAAAGTTTGTCCACTGGGGTAATAGAGGCGGCCTAGCCTGAGATTATCACTCCATCTCCCCGTTACTAATGTTAAGTCTCTTCGGCCAATTTCACTGATGGCCACGCAAGCGTACCATGATTGACCATAGAATAGTATTAAGGTAGCCTGTCACAAGGTGGTTACGACCGACCCCAGGGCTTTGAACATTCTGTATACAAGTGTTATACAAGAGGCGTAATGTTGATGTATAAGTGTTTATGTCAATGGATAGAAAATCGCGAAAACCACTTGTTTAATCTGTCGTATGTATATTAGTCACCCGTAATACGATGACAGTATGAAACAGCCTTAATGCTTTCGGTTAACGCTAAAGAAAAAGAAATTTGTTTATGTTTTCTAATGATGCTCTGTATTACAATCACATGTAATGAATTGCTGTACGTACAGTTTATCATTCCGATGCTAATACGATACACAAAATGAATACCACAGAGCTCCGGTCTTCGTTCGGTATTTTACCCAAAACTTTTCTCATTAAATATTTATCTATTGTCGAATTCTATGGGCAACCAGGTCACCCAACTATCAATAGTGGCATAGAACGTTCCAACTCTAACAACGATCAAAAGTTGAATTCATTGAAAATGAGGCACAATGCCTTTTTGTTAGTTTATTTGAGTTCGACCTTAATATAACAAGAAGATAAATTAGCAAAAGGGGCGTACAACAACATCCTGAACGATTTTGTAAAATTGAACTAGCTGACCCTATTCTCAGTATGTATTTGACAGATACTCTGATTAGTGAACTTGATATTTACTGGAGTATAAACATTACATGGCAGTGTAGAGATTATGATACTCCGAGTTCGTTACCTCTCTGGCTCACACAAACTATCACGTTACGTATGACCGCGTCAGTCAAAAGACATAATTGTCAGCGCGAGGGACACATTAGCTTATCTATTTATGGATCCCGAATTCATTTTCTGATAAGATACAGAACTCCATGTTTGGATGGGTAGTGTGTGTTTCTGAAAGCTGATAAAGATGTCTTTGTGTAGGCCACATTAACTATAAATGCTCTGGAGGGTATACAAAGTAATGAAAGCTCTTTTGTGTATTCCAGATGCACATACCAACATTGCAGACTAAAGGCAAATTTCGAGTACCCAGGTGGAAATATATTGAACAAACGCCAATCAGATGTTGCGTCTACATTTGGCTCAATCACTCTACACAACAACATTCTTGTATATATTTACATACCCAGCTGTGGAAACACCAAGGCAAATAGAACATGGTGAATATTTACCTAAATGTGTTAGGCATATCAAAATGAACAACAGAAAATGAAAATCTGATTATGCTGAATAAACATTATCGTATATGTGTGTACATGTATCTGTCAAAGAATGTTATACAGAGATAAACAACTTGCCTCAATGATATAATTTTTAAACACTTCCAATAAACGATATCGATACCTGATGCAAACATTTTGTAAGTGTTTCTAGGTGTACCTGTAAGGCACTACATAAGTATACATACTTTAAATCTGAAGTGTGTTTACATTGTAAACAGTAATTAATTTGGTAACCATTTCTGCCTTCTGATATATTGTCAGTATATGGGGCTGTTTAAACACTTAAAGGGGAGTAGGAACAAACACTGGCCCTGTTAAAGGGATAAAAGATTACCTTAATTACTAATCCGAACTGTTTTGATAATTCCCTACTTATATCGGGTCATTGAAAGATTCATAGTTACATATTTCATGTTAGCTATTGGGGCAGTTTAGTTGAAAAGATTAGGACGCAATATAATTCGGCCTCCATACATAACTAAAATAATATGACACATCCTCAACACACAAGAACGCATCACTAGTATATACCGCTTCATCAATACACATGAACATAATATACCACAGCATCAACCTGTCACCTGTCAATATGCCACAACGTCAATATCAATAAAGGAGGACACAATACAGGAACAAGTATCAAGGCGAGGATACAATATACCTCAGTTTCAGCGTACAAGACCTCAATATATTACAACGCCAATATAACACTTTACCAAAAAGTATCAAAACAAGGACAAAATATACCATAACGTCATCACACCCGGACGATATTTTCCTTAGCGAAAACACACGCGGATGAAATATGCCAAATCGAAAACACAAGGATAAAATATATCACAGTGTCAACTAATTAGGACAAATATCCCATAATGTAAACATAACATGACGAAATATTCCATATTCAACACGAAATGACGCAATATACGATAGCGTCAAAGTACCAATAACACATATACCATAGCGGCACCACAAGGACAGGTAATGTCGCAACGTCGACGCACAATGACTCATTATACCACAGTGGCAGCGTACAAGGACTCAGTATACCACAGTATCAGCGTACTAGGACTCATTATACACAGTGGCAGTATACAGTGACTCATTATACCAAAGTGTCAGCGTACAATGTACAAGAACTCGTTATACCATAGTGTCAGCTTACAATGACTCATTATACGACAGTGGCAGCGTACAAGAACTCGTTATACCATAGTGTCAGCGTACAATGCCAAAATATACCAGATCACCAGCACTCAAGCACAACATCAGAACGTAATGTTGTTGCTAAAACGACAACAACAGCAACACACGAAATGATGTCTAAACACGAGCACTCATATAAAATGACCACATTTAATAAATAGATATTGGTTTACTATTTAAAATATTTACAGTTTAAAACTTTTATTTCAGTTGTGTTTTTATATCCTAACATGCACTGTCTACACAAACTTTTGAATATTCACAAAATGTACACGAATTTGTCAGAATTTCCTAAGTAGCGTAAAATATAACGTTTATAGAAACAAAAGAGTAACATAGTATAGGAAAGATAATATGATAGAGTACTAAGAAACAGTTTATCTTTAAAGAGTTTCTTGTGATCAAAATTATATTTCAATCAAACTCGTTTAATAGCTTTGTCAGGCCATTTTCCCAAAGTGCTAGATTTAAATGGATCCATTTTTTTTTAAAGTAATTTTCAGGTGTCTTTCAAACCGGATTACATTTTGAAAGTTACTAGAACGTTTTAGTACATCACATGATAATTTCTAGGATGGCTATTGGATAAATACCCTTGTTCTATTTGGTAAAGTAAGCATCGGCCCTTGACAACGGGAACTATACCTGGAGACGGGCACTATACCTCCCCAGACAACACTATAAGAGAACGGTTCCCTCGGGAAAGGGCCAAAATAGAATAATAGCACATTACAAAGGATGAAAAATGTCGATTTTGTATCATTTAATGTTCGACTTGCAGTGCTTTTATAAAACATTTAAAATACTGATTTTTTTTATTCTGTATAAAACTTCTATATATGGATCCAACATACGGTCAAATCGTACCCAATACCGAGACAATATGATTTTATGATTTCCTTAATAGGGATTTTATTTCGCTATTTAATTGAATATTCCATATGTCAACCGGTTTGTAGCATCTGAGTAAGTAAGCTTGGATCAATTAGACTAAGCTCCCTAGTAACAACTACCTTCTATAAAAAGGATTTAATCAATGACGTTTTACAATACAGTGTACTGTTGCATGTACATGTAGCAGTGAAATATTAAGGTGAAATAAAGAAGTGTCAGACTCGATATCATACAATTGATATTGCAATAGTGATATGCTTTGTATATTGCTATGAAATATATATATTAACAGTAATATTCTATATATATAATTAAAAAGATTAAATGTCCATGTGATGCAGGTAAGTATAGAAAAGACAGATCTAACCACTGACTTACAAACTAGCAGCTTTCACCCTTCGCATGACTCTTCAGGTTTATTTCAAAAGGACAACATTGTGATATCATAATTACATGTCATCACACTACAAAAGTAACATGACGTCACAATATACACAAGATTGGTGGATAAACTAGCGCAACATTTTACTGTGGTCTGTGGAGACTAGGTTTTAATATTTTGATGAAATGGTCTTCATTTCTCTCAGAATAATGTCGGATGAATACAATTGATATAAAAGTAATTCATTAAATTTATCTCTGGCACATTCATGAATATGTTTATTAACAAATGAATTTCGTTAAGATTTGAATTTAGTTTGTTGCCTTATACGGTCATGTGTGTTCTCATCCTCGATATCCAGGGATTACGCTCACCTGCACTCTCTGCACCCTTGGAATATGTCATGGCAAAATTGACAGCTAACTATTTGATTGGCGCCAGGTCAAAAAAAACCTGACCAATCACTAGGCTTCTACTTGCCGTTTGAAGATTACCGAGAAGCGACGCCCGACTTCAAAGCCAATCAGTTTTACCGTTACGCGACCGCGAGATTATTTTGATGTACATGAAAGGATCAAATTAGTCTTTTCGTCTCGTCCATAAGGCGGTTCACACTGAGCCTTCGATTTTGCTTTTACATATTCCAGGGGTGCAGAGAGCGAAAGTGAGCATAAACACTAGATATCAAGGATGACGTGTTCTGAGTTCATTGCTAGTTTGACGGTATCAAAAACGTTAAATTCAGAATAAATTATTGCATAACTTACATTTTTTTTTTTAATATTCATATTGACCTTCACAGTAAATTTGAAGCTAGCCTTGAAGATAAAAGGATTACATTTAATAATTATAGGACAACCATAGGTGTGGTACGTGTCACATGACAATAATAAGCAACATACTAATGTTATATACTACAAAATTGATATGTTAGATTCCACAGGAACTGTGCAGAGGGGGCTTGCTGACAACATAGTGCATCGATTTTGCAGTTAAGCAAATGCTATTTGAAATATAGAAATAATATTTGTTCATGTTTATGTTAACTAGACACCATAAGGTTATGATAATGTGACTGACTTGTCAATGCTCATTGTAATTAAAGTCAAGCGAAAAAAACTTTTTCTTTTTGTACGGCATCAGTAATATGCCAGATGCTATGCATTGCGGCCGTATAGAACCAACCTCTGCTCTGAAAGTCCATCAAAGCTGTTGGCCACATCAGTCATAGAGTCCAGTCGTATACGCTGCCGCATCCTCGGCGATGACCGTGGAGATCTTGAGGTGGACTGACCAGGGGCAAAGCGAGATAGGTCCAGAGTCAGATCTTTCTTCCGGATCTTCCCATCCTCGTCACTGTCCACTGCCGAGAACACGATGTCCAGTTCAGTGGCGGACAGATTTAATCGTTCGGACAGGGATTCCTTCGTGAATATCTCATCCTCAGACTGACCTGACAATGTTTTGCAAAGGAGAGGAAGACGGCGATGTATGGGAGGGGTCACCGCCTCACCTCCCGGGGACACAGGATCTTCATATGCATGTTCATCCATATGTCTGGCTTTATCATCTTAGTCCAAAGTGTATGTCACACGGTCTGTCCGCTCTACTTTACAGTAAGGGTTACTACTTAAGTAGTATTATCAAAATAATATCTACTCATAATAGGTTCGTTAGTATATAATCTACATATTATGTATCTGTTCATCCAACTTAAAAACTGTTACTTCCTTAAGAATACTTTCACAACACAAGGCGTACGAACACACACGCTGTAATTCAAACAGAACTATACACTCGATGTTTCTTGTTGATCTTCTTACATCACAGCATACATGTATGTATATAAATCCAGGTCACCCGAGTGTTTGTTGTGAATCACAATACTTCCTATCCCTTGATAAAACCTTTTGAAACTATCTATCATCGATATGTCTTGTCATAGACTTATTCCGTACTGACACACACAATAAACGTGTGCACATGACATCGCAACAAACTTACTGTCACTGAGTAGATAGTCCGGTCGCCATTACAGATAAGGTCTCTATTCTATTTGCGATAAGCTCCAGGCAACAAGTTAAACTTGTCAGTTACACTTCGTGATAACATTCACTTTCGGCAGGTGCTTTCTTCATGATGAGTAGGCGTACCTTATAAACACCCGGCACGGTACCGGCCCGTTTTGTTATCCCTTACCACGTTTCTAAACTGCGGGATACCCCTAGTCATGACTGTGACAAAATATCCGTGCTGTTTTACCTACACACGTACCCCAGGTGCGTACCTAGTCGTACACATGGACATATCGTGTAGTACAGCCATACAAAATAAGCAGTGTAAATATTTGTAGCTTTATTTTTCCTGTCACGTTGAATGTTTAAATTCAAGTGTTTGCCCTAGAACGAGAGACGCAAGCACTGAAGCGTACCATCGTGATATCAATATTTGTGTAGCATTAAAGAAGGTAACGAGTGATGATACCCGAATGTCCGTGTAACACATAGTCGTGAGTATCTTAACAAAACGTTCAGTACACGGGTTCCTTAGGAATTGTTACCTTACGACAAGTTGACACAAACATTGTAACTTGAATATTTGCCAAAATGCTTAAACATGCATCTGAAATTGAATGTGTATGGATTCTAAGGTTTCTCCCGTGACGAAACACATTCGTGTTCTTTTATTTCGAAATTTACGTTAAACAACTAACTTATTTAAAACTTTTCCTTTTCAATTATTCAAGCTAACAATGCTTTTCACTACTTTGTCCGGACCTTTAAATTGTCCTATTTAAATGCGTACATATATACACATTTCGTTTTCTATGAATGATCCGGTTAGCTTGACTTAAATTAAGCAATTTAAATACTCTTTAGAAAAACCCTGATATAAGTGATACACATCTGCGAGTGCCATTCACACCACTTCATACCAAATATGTCATTAGATAATCACTTATTTTACTTACCCGATCATCATGTTTATGTAAATAATTAAACAGGACAAGTAACGTTTATGTTGTTGCTGTTTGGGTTATTATCATTCATATCTTAACATAGTTAAGCGAGTTAATTTCACATTCAAACCAGTAAAACCGTTTAAAAACAACTGCATCTTATTTAATGTTTTTGTTCGAATTAGAAAGAGTGGTCAATTTAAGGTAGCTTATAATAACTAAGAGTACAAAAATGAAAACTTTAGTTCTGTTGAGCTTTAATGTCAACAAGAAAGGATAGAATTGCAGGACAGTATGGATTAAAATACACAATGAGTAAACTTACGATATTCAGTAGGTATACATACAATATATTTACGTCACATATATTTAAATTTACTTACAAACTGTCACATTTAAAACCAGCCCCCAGAACAAGTGATTGAGTGAGTTACCGCAACCTAGCAGGTCATCACATTAAGTAGGAATTCTTAAACAAGGGTAGCACAGCATGTGAAAGTATAGAATTAAAATGTAATACTAGCTTACATGTACATATAGCTTGAGGTTTAAATGTATTAACATGATTAGGTTTTTTAAAATAAGTACAGAACTTTATACACATGTATAATCAGGTTTTCGTGTCTTAGTTGCAAACGTGATGCCTTGAATCATAACGTATTTGTTTGCCTGACTCATCAACTCCCTGTCCATTATACATTGTATGCACATGCCAATCGTCTTTATTCAAATAATTGCAGAAAAATGAATGGCAAAAATACAATTTCTTTACTATACGAATCACACTACCTTTTAACTATGTCAATATTAATGGCAAGTATTCATTCACAGAAACGAAATATCTTTACGGCGGATAACCTTACCATGGTTGGACAATGCGATTATCAAAGCGTGTCTGTTGTAGTTAACCGACTGATCCATAAAGTGCTCGCACTTCGTTCGCAGATGTGGTTAAACGTTAACACGAAACTATGTATGAAAGCGTTTAATGCTTTGTTGGTCTACCGACCTTCAACGTATCCAATTATTAGGGAAATAGCTGGCGATCGATATCTTCATAACAAATATATGGTCATACACTATATCATTATTGGTCATGTACCAGCTGCAAATGGGTAGGCGGCTCAATTGGACAAAAACATACTTGGTATGCATAAACAGAACTGTTCCAAATCGCTTTGCCATGCTAAGATCAGAATACATTATTTTGTATTTACAAACGACATTTCTATCATGTCATTACAATTGGTGAAATTGTTTCTCTTTATGTGATATGTTATTTTAAATAACATTGCCTCATACAATATTGTATTTTCACAGTTATGAGTACATATTGTATTGTGTGTTCACCAGTAGCAGTATTTATCTCGGTTATTGTGTCGTTGCCACTTCCTAGGTTCTCGCTTAAACGATGTAATGTTATGTATCTTATATTCATACTTAAACAATTTGCCCTAGTTTTATCAATTTTGAGTTCTACGCCAAAGCACAATGTCACTGTCTGTTTCCATGATTAATCTTGACTAGTTTTTATGAATAATGTATACAGAAGCAATTTACACTTCGGTAAACCATATTAAGTTATAACAAAAATGGCATCAAATTAATCAGTCATGATATTCGCTATCCATTATATAATTTAAGGGTTTTCTTTTCTTAAATTCGTATTTTCAAATGAATAATTTTCTTACAATGTGTTGAAATTGATTTTCTTTATCTATGATACGAACATGTATATGCCAGTTGTGTGGACAATAAACACGCACACCCACGACCGACCTGCACTCTACGGAAACAACACATCAATACGACCTCAGCCTGACATCTGTCGACCATTGTGTCACACTCAAAAAATTATAACGAAATGAAGACAAACGTGTTTTCTTTAAGCTGTAACATTTAAAACCACTCCCGATATCATTGTAACATGTCTTTTGAAATAGACATCTGTACATCGGTACATATGCATATCTTCTCGGCAATCTATATCTTAGAAAATCGTCAGATAAAATATAAACTTTCGTTATTTTACAACAATTATGAAACAAGTAATTGCAACTTGTGCTGGCTTCAGACAGATCCTGAATAATACCTATGTGTACATGATAGTAATTATGTCGTAGGGAACTGGTAACTATGTAAAACAACTAATATGAAACTTCATAGAGGAATGGTAATAACAAAACATATGGGAACTACACAGGCGAATGATGATAAAATATAACATATACCATTAACAAACAAACATAAATAATGGGATCGTCACAGGGGTTTGGTGGTAACATATTACATCATTAATGGTATCTTCACAGGGGTTTGGTGGTTACATATTACATCAATAATGGGATCTTCACAGGAGTTTCGTGGTAACATGTTACATCATTAATTGGATCTTCACAGGGGTTTGGTGGTAACATATTACATCATTATTGGGATCTTCACAGGGGTTTGGTGGTAACATATGACATCATTAATAAGATCTTCACAGGGGTTTGGTGGTAACATATCACATCATTAATGGAATATTCACAGGGGTTTGCTGGTAACATATCACATCATTAGTGAGATCATCACAGGGGAATGGGGTATAGTGTAATATTATTAACAAGAACTATACAAGGAAATGGTAAAGACATATGACATCATCGATGGGAACGCCGCAAGGAATGGTGATAAAATATAACATATATCAGGATACCATTAACAAACAAACATAAACAATGGGATCTTCACAGGGGTTTATTGGTAACATATTACATCAATAATGGGATCTTCACAGGCGTTTCGTGGTAACATGTTACATCATTAATTGGATCTTCACAGGGGTTTGGTGGAAACATATCACATCATTAATGGAATATTCACAGGGGTTTGGTGGTAACTTATTACATCATTAATGGTATCTTCACAGAGGTTTGGTGGTTACATATTACATCAATAATTGGATCTTCACAGGGGTTTGGATGTAAAATATCACATCATTAATGGAATATTCACAGGGGTTTGGTGGTAACATATGACATCATTAATAAGATCTTCACAGAGGTTTGGTGGTTACATATTTCATCAATAATGGGATCTTCACAGGAGTTTCGTTGTAACATGTTACATCATTAATTGGATCTTCACAGGGATTTGGTGGTAGCATATTACATCTTTAATGAGATCTTCACATGGGTTTGGTGGTAACGTATTACATAATTAATGAGATCATCACAGGGGTTTGGTGGTAACATATTACATCAATAATTGGATCTTCACAGGGGTTTGGTGGTAGCATATTACAGCTTTAATAAGAGCTTCACATGGGTTTGGTGGTAACATATTACATCATTAATGACATCTTCATAGGGGTTTGGTGGTAACATATTACATAATTAATGAGATCATCACAGGGGAATGGGGTATAGTGTAATATTATTAACAAGAACTATACAAGGAAATGGTAAAAACTAATGACATCATCGATTGGAACGACACAGAGAATGGTGATAAAATATAACATATATCAGTATACCATTAACAAACAAACATAAACAATGGGATCTTCACAGGGGTTTGGTGGTAACATATTACATCATTAATGGTATCTTCACAGGGGTTTGGTTGTAACATATTACATCATTAATGAGATCTTCACAGGGGGTTGTTGGTAACATATCACATCATTAATGAGATCATCAAAGGGGAATTGGGATATAATGTAATATTATTAACAAGAACTATACAAGGAAATGGTAAAACCATACGGCATCATCGATGGGAACGACACAAGGAATGGTGATAAAATATAACGTATATCATAATATTATTAAAAAACCCCATAAATAATGGGATCTTCACAGGGGTTTGGTGGTAACATATTACATCATTAATGGGATCTTCACAGGGGTTTGGTGGTTACATATTTCATCAATAATGGGATCTTCACAGGAGTTTCGTGGTAACATGTTACATCATTAATTGGATCTTCACAGGGGATTGGTGGTAACGTATTACATCATTATTGGGATCTTCACAGGGGTTTGGTGGTAACATATGACATCATTAATGGAATATTCACAGGGGTTTGGTGGTAACATATGACATCATTAATGAGATCATCACAGGGGAATTGGGATATAATGTAATATTATTATCAAGAACTATACAAGGAAATGGTAAAGACATACGACATCATCGATGGGAACGACACAAGGAATGGTGATAAAATATAACGTATATCATAAAATTATTAAAAAACCCATAACTAATGGGATCGTCACAGGGGGTTAGTGGTAACATATTACATCAATAATTGGATCTTCACAGGGATTTGGTGGTAGCATCTTACATCTTTAATGAGATCTTCACATGGGATTGGTGGTAACATATTACATCAATAATTGGATCTTCACAGGGGTTTG